GAACAGTGTTTTTTTTTTGTTTGTTTGTTTAGTTGGTTTTGGGGGGTGCTAAGAGCTGAGATTCGTCTTTTCTATAATATGGGACAAATATGGGAGCGAAGTGCTGAGGACGGGGTTTGTTCACTCAGGAAAGGAGCTGCAGGCTGACCGGTGTTTATCCTGCAGCTTCACCGACATCAGAAAGCCCCGCCCTGCGCTGCTCTGATTGGATAAGGTTGTGGGGGTTCGTCTGATTTGTTGAAAGCAGCATCTGTTTAAACTTYCATCAAACTGGGAGGCTTTAATGAGACCGCAACAGAAAACAAGCAAGTTTCTCTTTTCCTCATTTTTAAAATYCAGAAAATACAGACATGGGCAAAAAGARGCTGGTTATTGTCATAAATGTTGGTGTCGGTTATCTTTCGGTTTATTGCCAAGGCCTATTTGCAACAACAAAAGAAGACCTTCAATTTTAATCTWTAATGGGTGAAATACAGCGAGTCATTATTTTACCCTGAGGACAATAGCTATGGTTACATGCTGAAAATTATCTGATCAGATTGAGATTATTAAATAATTTGAATATGATGTCTTTATGGGCACACAATTATTTATTGGATCATGACGAGTGTTTATGCACCAGGTTTTATTCAGAATAGAAGTACTGACGTGTCAAGAGTTGTACCTTTCCCTAAAAAACAGAAGTTCTACTTCCATGATGACTTCATGTTCCTTTTTCTGTTTCTGTATTTACAGAGTTGAAAAAAAAACCCAACATGGAACCTGCTTATCTTGTGAAGTTAAAACAACTAAAACTCCTTTTTTTTAATCTGGTTACTAATGTTAGCAGGAAGCCAGGAACTTGAGCAAGTGACTGTGAGTGTTTTACCCGAGCCAGCAGGTTCTCAGTTTCACTGCAGCGATAGTAGGAGCGCAGAGGTCTGGTTGGATGGTGCAAACTGCTGTGGAGGTCCTGGTACAGTCCCATCAGTCGCTCCTGCTCCTCATCAGACTGGTACACCTCGGGAAACTCAGGACTGGAAAAAGAAGACATGAGGGTTGGACAATGAWACAACATTTCCTGTTTAGTATGATTGTATTGAAAGTCAAGAGCTTTCAGAGTCGAGCTCTTTCACACTTTCAACTTGGATCAAACCATATGTTTTTAGAAACTTAATCTAAAGTAATGGATGAAAAATATGCTTGGCAATTTAAATAAGTAAGTCAAATTATCTGCAGTCAGCCACTAAAATCATATCAAGTTGATGACATCTAAACACGGTGGTAAACACTAGTRCCCTAAAGGCGGACTCGAGGCGGACTCGAAGTGGATGTCCACTGGACTGGTCCGCGCAGAGATRAAGTTTTTATGTCCACGGTGTAGCACAATAAACTGCCTGGCGAGTACTGTTTTGGATGRGACACCAAGGCAATAAAGTTGAGAATCGGCATCATTTGTGAAGGAAATGGAGTCAAATTTTGAAGAGCGTCTCATGGAGGAGATTAGAAAACTTTATGATACATCAATAAAGGAATACAAGGACTTTCAGCGAGCAACAAATTTGTGGGAGGAAATAGCTCAGATCCTAGGTAAGGTGGTTCTTTTCTTTTGTTGTTTTAAAGCTAAAATGCAAATTATCTCTTCCTCRTCTTCCTTGACATCATGACTGAAARTGCGAGAAAATAAAGAATTTGTCAGGRGGTCAGAACGCTCAAGTATGAAGTGTCAAACATCCGCAGACAATATGCGCAGAGTCRGTGTGGCTCACGGACCACACACAGCATGCCCAAGTATGTGGGAGCCTTAAAGCACATATGCGCTACTTGCGGACCTAAATTTCCCCTTTGCGCTTTAGGGGTTTTACCAGTTTCTTCAAATGATGTGCGGATTTGCGCTTTCTAAATTTAGAATTGAGCAGCGCTAATCACAAATAATGTTTCAAATTTGATCGTCAAGTTTATATAAGAAAAGACAGAGTCGTCTCTTAAGCTTTACGTCTTGTAGCCACATAATTCTTTTAAGTTTCATCACCATTTTCCTTCAACACTGGAGGGGAAAGCTGTCTCTTGTTAACAAAAAAGGAGCTCCACTGTGTGTGGAAACAGCGACCCCTCAGGCAGCATTGTGTTCACAGAGCTTTATACTCTGACTGACTTTCCTTCTGTGTGATGGTTTTCATGTAGTACAGACTGTTCCCACAATTCTTTGCGTGGCAGGAAGAAGTTGGGTGGGTGACGGTCTACCTGCGGTTCTGATCAGCAGAACCACACTCAGCTGTGCAGTTTGGTACCTCCTCTCTGAGGGACACCACGGCAATAAATATTAAATAAACAACAATAATAAAGAAACATGGAACAGTTTAAATTCACGCTCTTATTTTGAAATGAACGGGTCCCTGTTCTTTGTCCTGTACCCTACCCAGAATGCATCGCTTCAGTTTTACAATATTTCAACAAATCACCTCCCCATACCGCGACGAGATGTGTTAATTTGTGAAAGAAAATGATCTTTCCACTAGTTAGTAGTYAAGAGCTGACATGTCTCATTTAWACTGGAATATCTTTTGGTAAACAGAGAAAAACTTGCGCTTTATATTTAGCTTCTGCTAAATTTTATTGAGTATATTCGCTTTTGAACTTGCAGACATAAATAATTTGACTAGCACTTTAGAAATTGTGCAACTAAATTTTGAATTAGTGCTGCCCACCACTGTCTAAATGGTTGCACTTTATATTTGGTATATTTGCTGAGGTGTCCACTACAAGGTTATAATAGTTTAGGATTTTTCATTACAGTTTAGTTTTATTTAGTTGTGACATTTTTTCTTTTAATTCAGTTAGTTTTAATTAGTTTTTACAGTGGATTTGATAGTTTTTATTAGTTATTATA